AAAGTCTCTTAAGATTATTGATTACAGCAAAATATATACAATCATGTTACTAACATCTGAACTTCAACCAGCCTTTCATTCTATCAGGGAAATAAGCATCAACTCCAATACAATGTTATAATCAAAATGTATGATCTCTGTGAGGTGTGATTAAACAAAAAATTTGTATCCGTGTCAATTCACAGCTTGTAAATTATTGACCTACACACAGAACAGGACATCATGTGTCACATCAGAGTCTTCATTCATTGTTAACTCTGTAACATTCTTAAAGACAATGAATACAATCTACCTTCAACCTTTCCTGATAAAAACCTATTCAAACTCTGACAGAACCTCATGTTTTATCAATGAGAATGCATAACCTACAACACATACAGCACTTTTGTGTAACATCTTATAGTACAAAAATTGTACTTTAGCCATTCATCTAGACACAGATAATGTTAATGGATATTTGGAGACTGTTAGGAGAAGCAATACACTCAAACTGTAATTAGTCTACAACACATTCAGAACCATCAATCTCCACAACAGACAGGTGTTACAGGCAACCACTTAACCCATCTTTGTTTTAAAAATGGAAATAGTATTTATCCTACCATAGGCCAGCAGGGCACCAATCAAGGGTACATTGTCTCACCCTTAATTCAAAGAGGGAACAGAATTGTGCACATGTTGGGTAACTTCTATAGAAACTTCAATAGTATCTCTGGGTTTATTACCGAGCATGAACTTATTGCCAAGGATACAGTACAATCAGTAACTTTGCCTATTTTGCTTAACATCTTAAAGAAAAAACAACTCTTATTTCAAGAGTTTTCTGATAGTAATCCAAATGAGAATCCCTACGTACGTGCATAGCAATGACAGAATAACTGGTGTCAAAGCAACAAACACTGTCAAAACGACAACTTTACACCATATTACGTAACATACCGACATAATTTCATGATTCACTACTCGTTTTAAGATACATTTGTTTTAAATGTCTCCAGATCAGATCTGAATAACGCTGAATCAACAACTTTCACTCAACCTTTAGGAATGCCTCAAAGATTACATTCAAGATAGTTTAAGCTCTCTTGGGGCAATGCTATGAAGTTGTGATAAGAGTTTAGCAGTATTTCCTGACAATGACCAGAAACTGATATCTACCCATAACAGCTGCAGGTTAGAAGAACACAAACTTTGTCTACAGATTAAAGTGCAGAATTTTGGATTGAAAAGAAATTTTCTATAGTAAAAAATCAAAATATAATTATGGTTTTTCCAATCAAACCATACTAATTAAATGGAATGCAAGTGCCTACATTAGTTTTTATCATTACATGAAATGTTAACATGTACTGTACGTGAAATGTTTTTGTTTCAGTTACTATCAATCCCATAGCCTTAATATATCAATAAATAAAGAAACATCTGTTGTTGCTGTGCAAAGAAACTTAAAAAAAATGTCGGTTGAAATTTGAGAATCTTTGGAAGATAAACTCAAGTGAATCTTTAAAATGACCCGACAACATTCTTGTTTAGAATGGAACGTTACCACTCCCAGTAAACCAGTGTGCTACTCATAAATACCTTACTACACAACAATATTGTTACTTACTATGAGAAAACTGTCACAATGCCATGCTTGAGTACCTTTCTAAATTTGAATGAAGTGACCTGTGAAAAAATACTCTCAAAAATATCTCACGAGAAAATGTTTAGTTACACTAAGTGCAGAAACTTGAAGAAGACCCTTAAACATTTTTACTGATCTTTCTGATAAGGTGTAAAAAAATTCACCTGCTTCAACAATAATATGAAAGAAGGGATGAAAATGTCAAAAATATTTAACTATATATAAAAGCAACAATTTAATTTTACATCACATCTAACCATCTAAATCAAGAATGTTTGAAAGTAAATCAAGAATATATGAAAACCCTGTTAACCTTTTACAAGTGGGTATCCTAAATCAAAATGCCACTAGCTTCAGAAGTGAATGTTCCACATTGTCGCTAATGCATCATCACTACAACTGCAGTTTAGGAATATTGTATGGAAACTTTTGGTATCAAATGGTGTGACAGCCATATTCAAATAAAGGGTAAGTAACACAAACGGTACCCCAATAATCTGTATTTCCATGGGAAATTAGTCAGTCAAGAAACATTTTTTCAGGCAAATATATCTTTTCTGTAGAATTAATCAGTGTGTACTACATAATCTCACCAATTTCCATTTGACCAGTTACAAATTTAATGGATTTATAAGCAGAATTGACATGTATTAGTTATATTGCTCTGTATACCTTATCAATGTATATAATGCTTTGCCTATGTTCCACATATTCTATAACACGCTTCTTTTATGCTAGTTTTCATGTTCCTTTTATGTTGGGTTTCATTCTTTCATCATTGTTTGTTGAGAGTTACAGAGCTAATGAATTATATTTTCAGATATATCACTTTCAATAAAATTTTTGTATCTTGATCTGTGTATTATCCAGTTCTAGAGAAGAAGCTTTGATACAATTACTTCAACAGCAATATTCAACACTAACAACACTTGAACAGTGCATATATGTAACAGCAGACTTGTGATGTATAAATTCACAGATCATCACACTGATACAGCCTGGTGTGACTCAGGTTGTATAGCCATGATAATACATAAACAACTCACAAGATCTAAATAAAATTAGTGTGCTTAACAAAATTTACATAAACTTGAATTGAACTGGACTTCCCAGAGTGACAATTAACAATGATATTTTGCAAAATATAAAACCAGAAACAAACCAAACATACACTATACAAAAAAGTTTGAGGAACCAAATCAGTTGATAACCAACAGACGGCCTCATTACATCACTTATAAATTTACAAATGCTGAGTATTGATAATGGGAGTTCCGCTTAACAAGCACCATTACCAAGTCTCTATAGCTGCAAGTCATGGTCCTTTTCTAATAATAATAATTATCAGTATCAAAGCCAGGATATTTTCATTTAGACATTTCTGATAATTGGACTAAATATCTTGACAAGTGAAATATAAAATACATACATATGAAACTGGTCAAACTCCAGTTTGTTTTGATAATTATTTTGTCACAATGAAAGCATCTGTCAAGGCTTCAATGCAGTACTTCATGAAATCATTACAGTACTCTACTAAGATGAAATTAACTTTGGCTATCACATACTATACTAATCTGTCCCAATACTAACTACACCCTGTTATATTTTTAGGACACAGTCATCATCCGAGTCAGCCTCCCTACAGGTAAATATAGAACTATTAGTCAGTCCAGCCACTGGACCATAGAATTACGGAGTCATGGTCAATATCAGTCTATCGATCAATAGATTGACATAAATATTAATCTTTAAGTAAGAAACTCAACTGCTGAACTTTAGAACTATAGTGTGAAGGCCAATTTTGGTTATACTACAGGTAAATGTAGGTCTGTTATGTCCCAAGACCTTAGTTAAACTGAAGTAGACATTGGGTCAAAAACATTAACCCCCCTACAGATAACTTTTAGATATCAACCATCACAAAGGCCACATGGTGATGTATCAGGACTCACTTTGACCACAATTACATCATGCTCTGAAACTGATGAGGAAACTTTCCTGATACTCCTTCACATACTGACATTGTGTGGGCTGTACCAACATTCCAACAGGCAGTGTGTAGGAAGTTGATATGGGGGATTGCATCAATGAGAGCACTGTATTGAAGTGATACCTTAACAATCATGAAATATGACATTAAAAAGTAAAGCCAGTTATGCATGCAAAAGAGCTATATATCATTCTATATTGGGATTGGTGCACATTTGACATTTTTTATGTTGACTTGAAATCACTCCAATGCTTTTTGTTAGAGAGGAGTGGATGGGCACTGTTTTAAAGCCAATATCCAAGAAAATTCACAAAATATATAATTCACTCTTAAAAATTCTTTTCTCAATTTCCCAAAAAAATTAACAATGTCAATCTTGTGGAAATGGCCGTTTGAATGTACAATACTTTGTCTCCTCAAATGTAGCACACAGTATTAGACTTTGCAGTAAAACCACTAAACATCAATTACTACTATATATCAAATTAACAAATCGAAAACAAAACCGACAGACTTAACTTGAATTTTTTCATGCACTTTAAATTGCAGGAATTGCTACTCGAGTGAGTGATTCAAACTGATAGAACTTCTGGAATTAACTTAAAAAAAGAGGGTCACAAAAGGCACTTTTAGTGCTGGTTACTTGGTGTATAGAATGACTCAATCAGAGATTGATAAATGTATGTCAAGATAGCTAGTCTACCCAGGACCAAGACTCATAGCCTATCACTGTATGCGTTATCAGTGCTGTATTGTAAAGAGTATAATAAATGACACAGTCACTAAAGATGTCTTTTTCTGTAAGCACCTTACACAGCTAACAGATAAACTTTTCACTTAGAAGTTCAATACTTTTAAATTAAGTAAACACACACTTGATATGAAAAAATAAGTTAAATAGGTAGTTTTAGATATATTGTTTCGAATTATATAACAGGGCTTAGAAATCTCTTATTACCAGTGATGACATTACAAAACCACACAAGGATTTTTCCAAACATCCCTTTAAGATAATGAAACAAAACAAATTGAGCATATGCTATATGAAGGTTTAGATGAAAATGGAACCATAAAGTAAACCAGTATTGTGACACAGCACTTTATATAAACATAAATTGTAAATCCAATCAACAGATTTTTTTCCCCTAACAAGTTCAGTGATGTAATCAAATATCTGCTGACAATTCAGTTTCCAGCCTGGATAAAAATGACAGGAAAGACATTTATATCCCATAACCAACAGGCAGTGTATGTGAGGTTTGTTTACAACAGGAGAATGCATACATATTATAACATTAGTTATGCCTCAGTGAATTTATCGTATTGACAATTCACACACCAGTGCACTCTAAGAAATGAAGAAGCAGGTATAAAGGATACACTTTGATAATTCCCTGTTTCGTTCCAACAGCCAGCAGTCGCAGCTTTGGGTCATGGGCCATACATGATGGCTTGCTAGGAAATCCATGGTCAAGACACTACAAAATAAGTGCAGTTTAGATCAATACAAATTCTACATGCAGTGGTGTTAACTATACTGTACACCAGTCAACAAACAAAACATTTTCACCTGATGGTATATATTATACATACAAGCTTACAATCAATTTCTATGGCTTTAGTTTAAAGATAATCAAATATTGCTAAAATGTGTCCCTTTTCCAGTTTCCATCATCACTTTGATAAAAACTACAAACATCAACTAACATGCAAAAATGTTCTCAATTTTTCCAGTAAATAATGGTACAGACATGTACCCAGACCAAGTGACTAAGTTCAAGAATTTTTTGCTTCTTCAAACATTGATAGCAGACCAAGTGACTAAGTTCAAGAATTTTTTGCTTCTTCAAACATTGATAGCAGACCAAGTGACTAAGTTCAAGAATTTTTTGCTTCTTCAAACATTGATAGACCAAGTGACTAAGTTCAAGAATTTTTTGCTTCTTCAAACATTGATAGCAGACCAAGTGACTAAGTTCAAGAATTTTTTGCTTATTCAAAAATTGAGAGCAGAGATTAGTATGAAATTCACACATCATGTTTAACCCTAGTTTTGTCTAAGATAGTAAAAGCAAAGTCACAAGATTGGATCAGACTCCTTTGGTTAGGTTTGTTTTCACTAGACCTTGCTAAGTATATTTAGCAACATGATTAATAAAATATTTCAATATTGATTTAAATAAAAAACCGAAGTGAAACTTATTCATATTTCTCTTTTGAATCAGCTTGCTCAAATGTACAAATTGACATTTACATACTGCCAGATACGAACATACAAAAATTTGTGGAATAATATTGAGGTACATATATACCTTTTCTCTTCATTTGAATTTCGTTCGTATATCTGGACAATCCCATGAATTTTGTTTTTCTACCACCCACATGGTACAATGTTAAGAATTTTAATATTGTATGGAATGTCGTTAAGGCTCGGTAAAATAACAAAAGGAAAATATATTTCTAACTGATTATAAATTAGTCCGTGTGTGGAAATATTATACTGATTAGAAATGTCACAAATTTTGCAAGGATCAGAAGCTGCATCCCCAAATTTGTAACACCTGTCGTAATTTAGATTTACCTGAAATGTTACAAAGGTAAGGGTAAAAGAAAGTATATGTATTCAATATTTAAAACCATCAAAAAGTTGACAATCTCTGGTTTGAGCAATATGGTCAATTATATGGAGAAAAAGTTGTCAATATCACAAGAAGCGGGGGGAGTCCGATTATGACTCACTCGTCTGTCATTCATTCGGGGAACATTCGGAGGTTCAATCACACAATATGGCTGCCTCACAATGTAATCTACTCACCCGACGGTATCCGAACAATTCCTTCTTTAATTTTTCTCGTTCTTCACTATCCTTTGGCGGATGCCTTTTCAAGAATTTAAACATCGTCACGCCTCAGATCCCGTCCTATAACATAAACATTAAAATGAGCACTGCTGCTGCATCGTGGACAAAGGTTTATAATCAATAACAAAATTAGCTAAGATGCTCCGAATGATGCAGTGTGCCTTACTGCAACCCGATGAAAACGTTTTAACTTAGACATATACCTACACTCTGGCTTAGACAGATCACGTTCTCAACAGTGAATAATAATCCCAAACACACCCTCTCGTACTGTTTTTTCGCCGACACCTAGTTCAAACCCGCGCCAGAAGCTGTAGTATACACGCCGGGATGTCCCCTGTCCATATATCATTCCGCGTTAATGACTACGAATTACTCCAACTTTAGTTGATCTTGTCCATCCACATATTTTCATAGATTTATTTTGTTATGTATGTTATAACTAAAAGAGATACGAAACATTTGTCTTATCGGTTTCTCTAACGGGAACTAGTTTTAATCTAGGGACTATATTTTTGAACGTATGAATGGCGCACCTGCTGAGTAAACCGACAGACGGAAGCCGGCGGGTTGGGAAACCCCTTCACGTTGTTTACTTAATGTAATTTAGCAGGATTATGATAAACTCATTACCGGCATACTTCACGTGTGTCAGTGATCCATATCTTGTGTCCATTTCATAAAAAAGATGTGATTTTGTGTCAATGTTATTATGACAAATTAATCCACGCACTTGTGAATTCAAACTTTGGTGAGCCGGCTGAGAATAACAATGACCCATGGTGGCGTAACGTCACAGAGCAGTTATGCCATTGATTAATTAGGTTTTTTGGAAATGACTACAAAAATTCTATATTTTGTATATCATGGAATTTTCTTTTTATTGTCACGTTTATCGGCAAGTCAGTGCATTAAAAAGCAATTTTATATATGTCCTCGATTGGATTTCAAATGAAATGTGTTATTATTATTTTTTTTTTTTTGCAAATGAAGGATTTGGTACATTCCGGAAAAAACGTACTTTGCGTTAAGTCCATTTTTTGCTAATAGTAAAAGTTTTGCATTTCAAAATTTCGAAAGCCATTCATCCTTATGAGGACACTGGCACCTTATCACATATCAAACAGACTTTATTTGTCAGATATTCTAGTTGACGGAAATGTTGATTAGGGACCGTTTAAATGACCATCAAGAAGGGTCAATATTGTGGTGGTCCAGATAACTGATCGCTCAGTTACGGGTTTGCGTGCGACATCTGGCTGTAAACGCGTAATTTGATAACAGAACATAGCTAGACATTATACTAGGATTTACAAACGAAAAGAAGGTGACCAATACTTCATGTGATGGTGTCAACAGATTGTCCCCGATTCAATTATATCTATTACCAAGTGCCAGCGCAGCAGCACCTGTTCACGATTCGATGATGAATACTAATAAATAAATAATGATTGTGATTAGGGACACGCGCATCAATTATTTGTAACTTAAATATTTTGACAAAATGAAAAAAAAATATAAGAATAACATAGAATATATTGAAGACGCATATAACATGTATGTGTTATACACGTCTCTAGATATTTTTTACAGTTTTCTCAACCGTTAGTGCAATTTTAATCAAATAAATAAGTAACTGAGTTATTAGTCATCATTTTCAATCCCACTTGACAATGTGCGACAGAAAATTACATAACCACATACCATAGACTTAGCTAGGTCTCTGCTTGCACAGGATTTTACTTAAATTTATTAATATCGAATTTTTTTCTCAATCTTATGCGTGCTAACTGAACTCAGTGTCGATCAAGTTCGAAGAAAGCCAAAATGCCCTAATAATGAGGACATAGGTAATTGAAATATCTTGTAATTACGGGGTAATTGATTTGTAAGATTTACAAAAAAGCCCAAAACATGAGTGATCAAATAAACGGCAAAATAACTTCACATCTGGAGGCAAGGCCAGGTAAACAGCACAGGTATGACAGTGACAAAGGCTATTAATGGCAGCTTCCCACGAAACTTGATCAGATAAAGGTATGATCGCGGAGGAATGACTCACCACACTTCACTATTACCCGGGCTCCTGTGTATAGGAGGCTTATTATCTAGCAGGACGTAATGGATTTCAAAAAGAAGTCTCTTTGCATGAAAATGTGTAAATTTAAATACAGTTACACTCCAGAGACAGATTACGAGATATTCTCTGCCATGTAGGATAAGACCCCACTCCCCCTCCATGTTTCTTATATCACGGATCATTATTTGTATTTTTTGGAATATCAATAGTTTTTCCTTGAAAAGATATTTCATTGGGTACTAAAATAGCTATCCGTCGGAATATGAAAGTATGAAGATATTTGTTTCCGACACGGCTAAATGTTTACTAGGCCGTTAAGGTGTTTTCTTGCATAAGTATAAACACCACACGCGCCAGACCGTTTGCGGTCACTGCCTCTGACCGCATTGTAACATAAACAATTAGGCTTATCGCGTGTGACGTAACTGTTTCACAAAAGAAAGTGACGCGACGTTATCGCGAGATTTCACGCTGCGGTGGCTAAATACCCGTTACGTAACGTGTTGCGAACTCTTGATCACCCACGGGACAGCGTTATGACACCAGAACGTTGGCTTAATCTAGCATTGCGACAAATATTGTTACTCAATAAATAGGCGTGTGAAAAACGATGTATGGATTAGTTTTCAAACGTCGGCGTTATTATATGATGTAATTATAACTTTGTCATGAAATATCGTTAAATCTGCTTACATACATATACCCTTGATCAGATCTTAGTCGAATGTAATTGCTCAATCAGATTTTTTTAAAAACTGAACGAAAGTCTTTTGCTTGCTAGCGCATACCAGACTGACGCATCGAATTAAAACAAAACCAGTGTATATAAGTACATACCATTGGTTGCATATCGACGAATACCTTAAATAAAAGCTGCATGACAAGGTTACTGGTTTGAAAAAAAAAAGTGATCACGGACTTAAGTGCCAGTGGAATATGTTTAAACTAGCCTTTAGATCTTTCCAAACAGTTGAGCGGGAAAGAATATCTCGATATAATCATGCTTTCATCTATTTCTGACTGCCAGGATACCCGGGTATCGTTACTGTTTACATAGTTCCACACAGTGGGTGATATTAATTGTAAATATTCCAGTGTTGGTGTTTATATCTCTTGGTGCCACCTGTCATGGCAGGTGATACGATGACGCGTCAGTGTCTTATAATATCAGCATGCAAATCAATAGGAAGGCGTCTTGTATATTTCTCTGATAATTAGTACACAAAGTATCTATAATTTAATTACCTTTATGACAGGACGTGATGTTGCATATGATACACGTCAGATGACCTGGTACAATACACACGTGTCAATGAGAAATGACCGGAATTGTTGCTATGAAAACAAAACACAGCACAAGAGAAAAGCTGTATTCTATACCAAAGGAAAAAAATATGACTTCGTAAATAGATTGCATTGTCACAATCACAAAAGGATCGGCAGTCCCATTACATGTCTAGATAGTGCTACCGATTAAGTAAATGGATTGCAGCATATTACCGCAGGACCTAATATGGCATTCTTGACATATTTAGAGTCAATTGGAGTGGTCACTAGCCAGTAGCCGCAGGCGTTGACCGCCCGATGTCCAGCGTAGGTACATAATACAGGTGTGTAAATCTACATATCAGAACCAGACACAATATACTGAGAAAAATACAAATATTGATTGAAATGTGATTGTGGTATATCGGGGGTTAGGATACGCCAGTAAGGCGGAAGTAATCTACAAAGGACGGGTTATACAATTAACAGTAGGGGGACGTTAGGCAATCACTTCCAAACTTCTTGGATCAAGTATTACTTGTTAATCATATAATCCTTGACACCTAAAGATATTTTGCTTTAAACGAACCTGTATAACGTGTGATACAATCATCCTTTTTTAAAATGAAAACTTTTGGCTCTGATGTATGCCGATAATCTATTTTTAATGTACGGAACATTACAGTGTGCCTTCTGATCATTTCTAGTCCAGTAACTCCTCGTTCGCTGAAAGTCCGAAATAATGTAATAGTGAACTCAAAAAACCGTTAAATAAATGTAATGTATTGATACGTGCCAGACAATTTCTCAACCAATATCAACAGTTTTTCTCGTCTCAAAAATAAAGTTATTCGACTGTGGTTGAAAAAAAAGTGTAAAACATTCTGAAACTTGAGTTGTTTCTGTGGTGGTCGTGGTTAGAATGGTTTCGGAACAATAAGACAGTCGTTATGCAGTCAAGATATAGTAGTACAACTCCCAGGTGTGTGATAATGTGTAAACAACACATCTCAGCAGAAACGGCAGTGGTGTAGGTCACATTTCATATAAATGTTTAATTTCTCATTATGTAGGTTTGTATTGTCATGTGTTATCTTCATTGTTCACTAATTCACAGAGAGCAACTCTATATCGATCTTTAAATGTGATGGTTTCTTATCAGACGTAATAACGACCAGAGACCTAATAACATGATATAATAAGGTCTCTGCATAAGCTTTACGTTCAATCTTTTTAATACATCATGGTTAAGGAAAACAAGTGAGTTTCGCTCGGAAACGGCTTGACCGGGTCACACTGAATTATTATAATAATATGTATTAGCATGTGTCTCTATAGACCACGATGTATAATAATTGAGACACAAGATTGAATATATACCCGTTACGTAGGTAACGCTGAGAGACACATTGTGTCCTGACGAATTGTCTTCTGATTAGCATACCAGAACAAACTCAGAAATCGAAATTATCACATATTTACACCACTAATGAAATCTTTCCGGAATCTATGATTAACTCGGGTCGGGTTATTAGAACACACAGCGATTCTCTTTATTTTATCCAACAGAACACAATTGATTTTTAAAACAAAGTTGTGAGAATACAACCTGCATTCAATTAGATGATTATTCTGTTGATGCCCAGTTCAAGGTAAAAACCAATATGTGGTCGTCTAGCTTTTAACCTAGAAAAGATCAAA